CGGGCCCTGACCCTTCACCCTTGACGGCTGTAGCGGGACTGAACAACAGGATCCGGTGCTGCTGCTGCTGCTTCCCTTCCTCAGCCCCGCTCCTAGGACGATAGGTGCTCCGAAACTCCAGCAATGCGTAAAGGGCTGTTCTCCACGGGGAAAAGAGAAAGCTCCTTGTCTGTGGTCATGGGGAGGAGCAGGCCCAAAGACGAGAGTGGTGAGGGGTCAGAGTCAGTGAAACTGCAGTTTCCCAATTCCTGTCCCTGACCTCTCCTCTCCAGGATCCCCTGGTTCCAGTACCCCATCATCTATGACATTCGGGCCAGACCCCGAAAAATCTCCTCCCCCACAGGTTCCAAAGGTAAGTGTGGGCAGTTGGGAGCAGCGTGGCAGGTGGGGACACAAGTAAACATAAAACGAGCCTGGCAAGGCCACCAGAAACGGTAGTGTTTCTGAGGTCTTGGTTTCCACATCTTCAAAAGATCATGCCTCATGGCTTCACACAGCACACTCCAGCACTTGGTATGCTTGCACGTTTTAGCGTTACTCTCTGCCTAACATAAACTGACCTGAGAGTTGCCTCTCTTCACGGTCTTCCTTGCTCCCTACATCCAAGCCTTTTTTAAGGCCTTTTTCTGTCTACCTGTTGATTACATCTGCAGTATACCTTGCTCTGGAGAGACTGTCGCACTCTTCACTAGCTATTTCTCTGCCTCATTCACGTGTACACAAGGAGGCAGGGAGCCCACTGTTTGGTGGGCTGTTTTTGGTGTGTGACGTTTATTAGTTCGCTAAGCCCTAGGCCTTGGAAATAAAAAAAATTGGGAATTCTTGTTCTCAAGTCCTTAGAGTCTAGGGAAGACCCACAGTTGTGGTGCCCACACTGCAGGTTGCACCAAGCCCAGTAGCAAAAAAATAGGAGTCAGCTGTCCGAGTAGAAGTCTGTAGAGAAGGCTCACAGCAAACAAGGAGCTGTTTCACCTGTGTCTCACTCCTTCCTTGTTGGCGGATCCTCTCTTCTCCCCAGAGGAGCGTTAGGCCAGGCATGGGGGGAAGCACTTGTGAGAGAAAATGCTTGGAGAGGGGGCATTTGGCTCTAACCAGTCACTACTGGCCTCACCCCCAGACCTGCAGATGGTGAACATTTCCCTGAGAGTGCTGTCCCGACCCAATGCCCAGGAGCTCCCCAGCATGTACCAGCGCCTAGGGCTGGACTATGAGGAGCGAGTGCTGCCGTCCATTGTCAACGAGGTGCTCAAGAGTGTGGTGGCCAAGTTCAATGCCTCGCAGCTGATTACCCAGCGGGCTCAGGTCTGATTCCTATCGCTGTCTGCATGGTGGCAGCATGTCTCGCCTTGGTCCAGGGTACTAACGGGGCATTTTATATAACAGAAGCATGGGGGGGGGGCATAGTTCAGTTGGTGTTTGCCTAACAGGCACAAAGCCCTGGATTTAATCCCAAGCATTATTTAAACCAGGTGTGGCACATGCCTGTTAACATAGCACTCCAGAAGTATCGGCAAGAGGATCAGACGTTTAATGTTCTCCTGGCTGCCCAGCCAGTTTAACGTGGGAAAGCTGCACTGGTCTTTCACTCTGGGAAATAAGGAGAAACAACAGTAGAACCTGATACCAGTCAGTGTTAAGAAGGAAGCATAGAAGAAAACAATGGTGACACGCTCTTAGCCACCTCTCTAAAGGAGTTCTTCCCTCGACTGGCAGGAAGCTAGGCTGTGATAGGCACGTATAGATATGTAGGTATACTGCATGGAATAAAGGGAAGACTTGGGGTCAGTGTGACACAGGGCGGTCATGGTGCTGCCTCACCTGTCACGTGAAGACATTGAACTGGGTTTTTTCTAGCGAATGTTTGAGGACTTAAGAAGTGGTGGGTTTGCTGCCCATACTCAGGAGCTCTGGTATTCAGATGGTTACAGCAATACCACCTTCCTTCCAGTTCTCTGATCCCCTCAAGCCACCCCTCCCTTCCCCTCTCCACCCTTGCTCCCAGGTGTCCCTGTTGATCCGAAGAGAGCTGACAGAGCGCGCCAAGGACTTCAGCCTCATCCTGGACGATGTAGCTATCACTGAGCTGAGCTTTAGCCGAGAGTACACAGCAGCTGTAGAAGCCAAACAAGTGGGTAAGTCCCCGGAGGAGTGGATCAGTGGGCTCCTGGGGGTGAGAGGAGGGGCTTCACGTGGTTGGGTTCTTACCACCCCACAGCCGTAACAACATTCACTTGCCATCACAGCCCAGCAAGAAGCCCAGCGGGCCCAGTTTTTGGTGGAAAAAGCAAAGCAGGAACAGCGACAGAAGATCGTGCAGGCTGAAGGGGAGGCTGAGGCTGCCAAGATGATATCCTTCTGTTGCAGACAGCTTGGCCCGACCCCTGGGACGCCCCACACCCCATCCTCCCCAATGGGCCGGCTGATGAGACTAAGGCGAATGCGACTGCCTACTGACCCTTGGCGTCTGGGGGTGGGATCTGAAATCTTGGTGGGGGTACCTGAGGCCTGACTCCCCACTGTAAGGCCAGATCAACAGCACTTCTGGCCTTGCCTTCATGTCTGCTGCCACCACAGTTCTTGGCAGCATCCTGCAGGGAGGCCCACAGCAGGTGGCCAAAGTGTGAGTAGCCATGTGAGCGCAACCTTGAATCTGACAGCCCAAGAGGATGGGCATTGTGGCAAATGTAACCCTGGCCTAGAATGAATCCTTAACCCTGTCTGCTTACCTTGGAGAAGCACTGAGCAAGAATCCTGGCTATATCAAGCTCCGAAAGATCCGGGCTGCCCAGAACATCTCTAAGACGGTGAGAGAAAGGCCTCATTCTCCCAGGGCTGCCCGTGGAGAGGGAAAGTATTCAGTTACACAGTCACACAATGGGATTAGAACCTTGAGTCTCAGCTTGAACAACTTTCTTGGGCACCCTTCCTTCCCAGAGTCAGAGGCTTTGTGTTTATGGCTGTTACGGAACACCAAGGCTTCTCAGTACTTGGATCTTTGTACTAGACCATTAGCTTCCGTTACTGTGTCTTCTACTGGGTGGGCCACTAAGTGACGGAGGCCACACTTGAGGCCTCTGCTAACACAGGCATCCATTCCTCTCCTGTAGATCGCCACGTCCCAGAACCGCATCTATCTCACAGCTGACAACCTTGTGCTGAATCTACAAGACGAAAGCTTTACTCGGTAAGAGATGCCACTGTGCAGAGAACAGAGCACCTACATCTAGTCCCTTGGGCTCTGGAGTCCGTTACAGTAGTCATGGGGCCCTTGACAGTTTCTCTGAACATCAAAGTCAGAAAAGTAGGTGTGTCTGGCAGCTTGGCAGTTCCTGTGTTACAGTCTCTAGGACTGACTTGGTGAAACAAGATAGGATTTCTTGTGTAAAAGGCACTTTATTATTATTAATAGTTAAATGGGAAGTGATGGCCGACAGTGTTCCGCATCCTTGCTTGGGAGACCTGAATGTTGCTTGGCTGGTAAAGAAAGTCAGGACCCCACAGAATAAGTGACCAAAAGAGCCGCTGCCGTGGGGGGAGGGGACACAAGGATCTAGAGCTGCTGGGCCCTGAACTGACTAATGATATATATATCTTTTTGTTTCCTGTTCACTCATGGTGTGCTGACTGTAGGGGAAGGTAAGTGATCTGCGTCCCTGCTGTGGGGTCCTGGGGCACCTGCCTCTGCACCTCCCTCCCCTCCCCAGTCAGACCTTCATTTGGGAAGAGGCATAGTTTGGCGTGTTCTGCGTCTCACATCAGAAATGTTTTCCCTTTGTTGTACAGTGACAGCCTCATCAAGAAGAAGTGAGTTGTGGCCATCAAGAACTCCACCAGCAGAGGAGCAGTCTCATCTCTCATCCAGCCAGCTAGGGAGGCCACGCACACCCCACCCTGACCCGAGCATCATGCAATGGAGTCCTCTGTACTTGCCCTCTTGGATTAAGGAGACTGAAATCCAACCCTTTCAGAGGGCTTTTCCCCCTCCCTGGATTGACCTGGGAAATGGGAGGCACAGTGTGATTTCGCAGTGATTTCCTACAGTGTTGTCCCTCCCCCAGAGTGGGGGGAGATTTAACCACCATCCCAGAAATTCTCAATAAAATTTTTATTACTTAAACTGAAGTCAAGGTTTTGCCTCTGAGTGGGTTAGATAGGGTGCACTCTGGGTCTCTGCCAGCAGAGGGCACAAGCAGTCTGGCCTGTAGAGTTCCGGCTCTGTTTGCTAAGTCCTCAGAGCCCACTGGCTCCAAAACAGGACCTAAGCTGGGAGCAGCAGACCTCAGCCAAAGGCCCAGCTACACCCCTTCCTCCACCGCACCCTCCGTGTCTACCAAACGAACCCGCTGACTTAATAACATCTTGTTGAAAGCTGGAGCAGCTGTGGCTTTGCTGAGCCTAACTAAAAATCTGATGACCCCAACGGGAGCTGCTTCCTTGGTAACAAGCTTCTGGGGAGCTATGAGGAGATCGTGTGTGTTCCTCCCAAGGGCTTCCGGGCTCCAAAGCCCCACTGGGTTACCTGCACTGTTACTTAGTCACCAGGTAGATGAGCTATTTGCATGTAGGGTTATCCCTAGGGAGGTGGGCTTCCCACCCCCACAGCCCAGGAGCTCAACTAAACAACCTATTTTTTTCCGCAGATGATCTCATTCTGAAGACACTACATCTCGAGTACTGGAAAATTAAGCCATTACTCATTCCTATAGCTCACTAGAAGCTTTGCCATCTTTTCCCCTTCTGGGTAGATAAATAGTGAAGCCATAAAACAATGCAATAGGAGAAGAGGTGAGCCTTGAGTGGGCTAGAGGGTGCGGTACAGCTTCAGCTCCCTGGGGTCTTGAAGGAAGCAGATGGATCTCTCCTGAGGTCTAGGAAGCCTAAGACAGGCAGGCCAATATCCACTGACATTCATGTTGCCAGGTGAAAAGACAGTGGTAGTGCCTAGAGACCAAATGTGTTTCCAAATCTTGCTGCTCTTCTGAAGGCAGCCATTTTGTCTCTTTCCCATTGTTCCCCTTTGTCAAGTGATTCGCACATACACACCCCATCCAGAAGGTTAAAGGTCAGACGTCGTTGTTCTGGTGGCCTCCACGGTCTTCAAGGCTCCAAGAATGTCACTGCTGAGAGAACTGACCCGGGGGCCATCTTTACCAGACAGTGTTAGGAGCTTCATACTTCAACCATCCAACACTGCACTGGAAGATGGACCCAAAGCCAGTCAACATAAAACCAGACTAGCTGAGCGAGAGCGAGCGAGCGAGCCGCCGCTGGCTGGCTGAGACCTCGAGTGCCTGCGTGCGTAGACAATCCCAAGGCCAAGGTCGGCTTCAGGTAGTTTCTGGATCGACCAGATGACAAATCACACTGGGTTGGAGGAGGGGCTGGGGCCATTGTGTTCCTCCAGTGGGCGAGCGGCCAACCCGAGAACCGCTTCTGCAGCACCCTTACCTCAGGAGAAGGGGCTTTCAAGCGTAGGTGGCGGAGGAGGGAGTTTGCTACCAGACTGGGGCCTGGGGCCTGAAGCAATGGACGACGCTGACACAGGGACAGGGGCCTCCATCATTACCCGGCAGTATTAGAGACTCCCAACCAGCACCCAAACACTGCTGGGTAAGACGAGGGCCCCTACCCAACCAGTCCACCTCCAAGATGAGCCCTACTAAACCCGAGCACCCTGGGAGAAGCCGGAGATCTCTGGCCCCCATCCCCCACCTCCGCGTCATTTGGGACACTTCCGGGTGAGCCTTGCTGCTCAGCACCAGGCGTACCCTGAGTTGCCCATCACTGAGGCCAAAATCAGCCGTAGCCGCCCTTCCTCAGCCCTCTGCTGTCCGCCTGAGAGCCGGTCCCCTGGCCCTCCACAGCCCGTCCCTGCCCCCAGCACACAGCAGTTCTCCGCGCCCTACAGTTCAAGCGCAGCCCCAGGACCGGTGATCGGTGGCCTTTACCTGGCACCAGACCCGCCTGACCCTCAGAGTGGTGCAGAAGAAAGGAAGGGGTATCGAGGCCCCGGATCTAACCGCCTAGAGCCAGCCTGGCCGCCACTCTTCCTCTTCCTTCTTCACCTGCCGGGTAGCACTGGCGCCTCACCTGGGCCCCGCCCGCCTGCTGCCCTGCGCACAGGTGTGTCCTCCTGCCATAGGCTGCCCCCTCTCCGCCTTAACTCCTTCCCTCCCAGCACCAGCCCTGGGCACCTCCTCTTGAGGCCTGGCCACCCCGCCAGGCCTCCCTCCCGCCCTTTCTGGCGGCCTTTCTTCTCCTGCCTAGTCTTTCCCTGTTTCTAAAGGAATAAAGGGAGAGGCCATCTTTGGATCCCCTTCCAGTGGCTCCTTCTCCAAGCTAAAAGTCCTCTCCTCTGAGGTCTCCAACCCCGCCCTCGGGCCGAGTCAGAGGAGCCTCCCTGAGGTCAGTGTGGGGTCAGCTGGGCAGGCATTGGTCTGTGTCCCTCTCCAGTGCTCAGCCTGAGTTGGACAAACCCTTGGGAACTGAGAAAGAGGGAAAGCCCTCCAAACCTGAGCCTAGGATCCCCTAGCCTCTGCCGCAGGCCTCCGGATCTTTGGTTTTACCTTGAAGTTGAAGTATCTGTCCCGGCCAAAAAGCCCCAGCCCCCACCTAGTGAGGAAAGCTGGAACCTGCTCTAGCCTTGCATTTGCTACACTCCCACCCCCACCAACCCCCACCCCTCCAAAGAACCCACCTCTCTGCAGAGCCCTCTTCTCAGTTGGCCCAGGGCTTCTGAGAATTAGCCCAGGGCAGGCAGTTAGAGGAACAGGACGGGCCTTTCTTCTGTGTGGTTCTGTGTTGCTGGGAGAGGGGCCCTGCGGCACACAGGTGATGGCCCCACCCATGCACCCCCTGGAGGGCCATAGCTCCAGGGAGCTATCATGTTGCTCACGCCCAGAGCGGTCCCTTTCTCTCCTCTTTGTTCTCCGCACTTTTCCGTTGTAATTATTTTTGTGGACTAATTCTGGCTTTGGTCTCCCAGACATCTACTGAGTCCCCGTAGGATAAGCTAACTTGTCACCCTCAACTGCTCCCAGCACTACCCTAGGACCCATGACACAGCAGGCCTTCAGGCCAGTGTGCTGCCCTTGCTTTTCCCGTGGTGGGAGCCAGCTTTTCCCAAGGTATGGCTGGCACACTCAATGGGACAGGAGATTCAAGTTATATATAAAGAACCCAGCTCTAGACAAAAGGAAAGGAAGGGGGACAAAATAGTAAAATGATCTTCAGGGACCAGATGAGGGCCTCAGCAGGGGGATGCCCTGCCCCCCTCCCCCCAAAAAAACATCGTGTGCTTCGGGAACTGTAGATCTGGGGAGGCTGGGCTAGATCAGTCCCTCCTAAAAAATCTTCCTAGTTGTTGGATCTAGCAACCAACAGCAGGTTGTATGGCAAATCTTTCTGGGGTGGACCCTGCTGAGTCTGAGAACATGGACTCTGAAGGCCAGTGGTCCTGGAATGTTGAACAAGTTAATTTGATCTCCCTGTGTCTCAGTTTTCTCCACTGTAAAAGCAGGAAAATAAAGAGTACCCAGACTGAGAGCCAGGAGTATAGCTCAGGGAGAGAGCTGTTCACTACCTGGCATGAGGGAGGGCCTGAGCGTTGTCCCCAGTACCACAAAAAAATAAATAAAACAGAAACTAAAGTACCTAGGATTAATTAATTCTATAGTCTTTTAAATAGTGCCTGGGCCCGTTGCCAGTGTGGAATGTAGCAGTGGCCATTGTTATTGGCACTCGCCGTATTGCCGTATCTTCACTCATGAGCTAACGAGGGCAGATGAATCCAGACCACCCTCTGCTGTAGAGACTGGAGAACTTGCCAAGCACATAGGAGGCCTAGGTTCTATCCCCAGCATGAGAGAGAGAGGGAGAACACAGAGCAGTCTAACTAAGCCTTAGGAATGCCACAGGCTGCTGTGTGAAGCAGCATCCAGAACCAGGTCTCTCTGAGCCACAAAGTTGAGCTTCTATGCAATCACACATAACATCCCGGTCCCACCCTGCCCAGAGTCCCAGGATACATGGGACACACAGAGTTGGAGGCAACACACAGTGGTCCAGGGGCTTTATTTACAAGAATAGAAGTCTGGCTTTGCCTGAAGACTTGCTGGGCTATATACAGGTTCAGAGGACCACAGCCATTTAAATACATGAGGATGGGGTGGTCCTAAGGTCTGGTGTGTGGGGGCCACAGGTCTTGATCTGCCCAGTGGAGGCCTCTGCAGGGATTGAGGCTGATGCTGATGCTGCAGATAAAAGAGAAAAAGTGGGTCAGAGGGTATCTGGGGCCTGGAGAGAGGGCACAAGAAGATCTGGGGACATCCTGGCAGGGTAGCATTAGATTGTGACCTCCCCACAGCATGTCAGAACTGCTGTGGGAGCAACTGGGGCAGGGAGAGAGAAGACTACGCAGAAGGGGCCTCACCATGGCCACCTGCAGTCGAAGGCCCAGCTCACTTCCTCTTGAGGGACCCTTTGCTCTTCTCCTTATCTGCTGACCGCTGCTTCTTCACTTTCTCTTCCTTCTTGTTCTTGCTGTGCACGTTTTCATACACCTCCTCCTTGTGTCTGGGAGGTGAGGGAGGAGGGGAGAAGACATTCAGAGACTCTGCAGACCCTCCACACTCCCTCTCACTCAGTGAAGCCAGGAAAGCTTAGATAACCTGCTCACTGTCCATTCACTAGACCCAAAGCTCCCAGGACAGAGACTACACTCACGCATGTGTCCACAGCTGGGCCATAGCATGGGCCCACACAGAGTAACAACGCACACTTCAGAAAATACTTAAGAGGGCTGGAGAGATGGCTCAGAGGTTAAGAGCACTGGCTGCTCTTCCAGAGGTCCTGAGTTCAATTCCCAGCAACCACATGGTGGCTCACTACCATCTGTAATGGGGTCTGATGCCCTCTTCTGGCCTGCAGATAGAGCACTAATATACATAAAATAAATAATTAAAAAAAAAAAAAAAGAAAATACTTAAGAACAGAGGTACTAGGAAGAAGGTTGACCTCGAACCAGGGTCTCTCCAACTTCCACACTGGTTCACTCCAGAAAGGACAGTTAAGGCTAGGCAGGAGAAGGGAGAAGATGTTGTGAGGGCAAGCAGGACCACTCACTTGGAAGAGGTACGGGAGGCCTTGGCGTGGGCACTCTTCATAGCGGGAGGGTAGGTGATATTCCCATACTCCGACTCCTGGCCCTTCCGGGACTGTGGGCAAAGGTGTGGTGGGAGGATGGTAGTACCAGCACGACTGGGTGATGCCCACTCTCCCCTACCACCCATCAGCCCCACTCTGCACACACTTGTATGATCTCCAGTTTCTTCTTGGTCGTTTCAATGAACTGGGCAATGGCCACATAAATGAACTTGTACTGTGCCTCTGTCTGCACCATGCCAGAGCGCTGTGCCCGTACCATCTGGATGGTCTTCTGGATGTCAATGTCACAGTCTAGCCCTGGACAAGGGTAGCAGTGGGACTTCAGGGTAGGCGAAGGTCAAGGGACTGCTTGCCCCTCCCCCACACCCACTCTCGTTCCCCAGGATCCTCACCCTTGGTGGAAATACTCTCCATGAGCATGTCAATGACAATGATGGTGCCTGTTCGGCCAATGCCAGCACTGCAGAGAGAAGGCACCGTCATCAGAGGCCCAGCTCTGCCCAGGAAATGGGGAGGCCAGGGGTTAACCCCAGCACTAGGTAAGGTGTGAAGAATCCAAAGCTCCAGCCACAAGGGTCGGTAATGTACCCAGGTCATTAGGCCAGCGAAGCAGGTGTATGCCTGTCTCTGCTCCCATTCCTCTGCCCCAGTCACAGGATGGACAAGCAGGTGCCAGTTTCCGGGCTAGAGATATCATTTCCCTCCTTCGCAGCATTTGTCCCCAACTTTCTGTTCCCACCCTTCACTCTTCCTAACTGACGGCTATCCTCATTCCTTGGAAAAACAGAACTCCACACCATGCCATTGTCCTGCCTGCTCCTCAGGGCATTCCAGCCTTCAAGAGTTACATTCGGAGTGGGGCATTGGTGGTGCACACCTTTAATCCCAGCACTCGGAAGGCAGAAGCAGGTGGATCCACCGAGTTTGAGACCAACCTGGTCTACAGGGTGAGTTCCAGAACAGCCAAGGCTACAACAACACAGTGAAATCCTGTCTCAAAAAACAAAAAAAAGAGTTCCATTTGGAACTAGGCATGGTGGCATATGATTTTAATTCCTGCACTCAGGAGGCCAGCCCAGTCTACACAGAAAGACACAAACAAATTACATTTTGGATGAGTGTGGTGGCTCGGTGGCCATCATGCAAGCAAGCCTGAGAACCTGGTATCAGATCCCCAGTGCACACAAAAAGGCCAGGCACAGCGGCCATATAATCCCATTACTAGGAGTCGGTTAGGTTAGCTCATTGGCCAGCCAGCCAAACTGAAGTGATAAGCTCCAGGTTCAGTGAGAGACCCTATCTCAAAAAATAATGTGGAGAGCCTGGTGTGTTAATGCCAGTACTGAGGATGCAGACAGAAGTTGACTGTGAGTTTGAGGCCTACTTGGTCTACCTAGCAAGTTCTAGGCCACTGAGCCACATAGAATAAGAGACACATACACTATAGATAGACAGACAGACAGACAGACT